CCAAAATGTTTAAATAAATTAAAAAACAGCTTCTCAATAACAGTGCCTTCTCCAATGAAGCCTTGGACGCTGCCGTCTGTTTTTATCCTCTTAAGACTCGACAAGGCTCATTGAATAATTTCCAGCAGATGATGAGAGGGGAGCAACATTTCCATGAAAAAGGCTTCAGCCTCATTACACATGATAATGGTGTTGACCAGGACTATGAAATGGACCTGACATTTAAGGCATCAATCAGGAGCATCTGCACATTGCCGATAAAGGTCGTATTTATTTGTTGGTCTTATAATATGCACCCAACAGTACAGTATGTTCTGAAGTTTATGTCTAATTAAATGGTAACGCATTTCCTTTTAAGGTATACTTCACAGAGCTGCTAGCTTGGATGTAGACTGTGTTTGTTAATGCCCAGCTATACATCACTTCTTACCAGCCTAAAGCCTCCTGCTATACACTTGTCAATTGTATTGATCACTTGCTAAGTGATGCAGTCTGAAGAATGCTTCACTTCTTGATGTTTTCCTTTCAGAGAGTAGCAGCAGTCTCTCTGTTTATGGTGTCGGAAATCTCCGTATTTACAATTTTAAGCTCTGCAGTTTGCACCTCTCCACCTGGCGACACAACACACAGTTTGCCTAAAGGGTCAAAACTTTTTGATGATTTGGAAATGAGTTTTTCTCACATCCCACCTGCACAGTAGAGAAATCTACGGTTAACTTGTGTGTTTTGGGCGCTACAAAAACATCTCATTTAAACTTTTCTTACTGTGAGTTCTGTGTTTAAATATGTCCACTGATAGCACTACTTCTATTCTATTTTATTGTATTTACTTGCACTATTTTATCTGTTTTATTGTGTTGCACTGTTGGAGGAGCCTGGGACCTAAGATTTTCATCGACATAACTACACTGCAGGGAATTGTCTCCAGCACACTATTCCCCAGGTCCGGTCCAGGTCATTTCACCCAGCCCTAGCGCAACAATGCATATTATATCAAGTTCTATTTGAACGCCACTCCCCTGACTCCCTTTCCTGAAAACACGACTTTTTATTTCAAGATGAGTGTGAGGATATATCACGCAAACAGGTGTCATACTGCACAGCTCTTAGCTACTGTAATAACCACTATAAAGTGTTCTCTCTACAGGATGGTTTACCCTCTATACAGCATGATCAAAAGGGACTTGCTTGTCTCAAGGAACTTGCATCCTTCAAATTGAAAGCCAAAAGACGTTTACATGGTTATGTATCCATACTCTGACAGCTCTCAACATATGCAGTCATCCAAGCATCCTTGAGGAAAAAATGATGAAATGGCGTTTGCTTTTTTGAGAACGAAAAGCGGGAGCTTGAAAAGGAAGCTCCACAGGAGACCAGAGATAAATCTTACATTCCCTCTCTTCCTCTGTGCATTTGTATTGCAATCTGAAATGTGTGATGCTTTGATCAAACATATCAGCAGTGCATGAGCATTTAACATGTTACACCCTCTCACAAGGTAATTATAGAGATGTAAAGCAGTAAAATGATTGATATGCTTCTACTATTGATGCCACAATACCATGATACTTCCATAATACACATCTGAAAACTCATCTCTTTCGACTCCACTTCGAGAGATAGAATTACTAACAAAGAATTACTAACAAAGTACTAACAGAGCACTTATATACTAACAAAGGACTGGCTTATCTAAAGCCAGTTGAGTAGCACTTGAAATGTTTTAGCTCTATAAAATCTGATGTACTTATATGATTCTGTTTTCTTCAAGTTTGTATCTTCCTGGTCGAATGCACTTATTGTAAGTCGCTTTGGATACAATGTAATGTAATGTAATACTGATTTTGAGACTAAGATAGTGCCTTTTAAGATGAGGCGATGATGTGATGCATGACATTTTAGCGACATTAAAGAGTAATGGCCTGATATAGGGTAGGGATGAGCATGAGCATGATGACACAGTCCCTGAGGTTGAAAGACAACCTGAACTACTCGACAGGATTTGAAAAGGTGAAGACATTTCAGATGCATTAGAGTCTGCAGATGTTCTAAATTGAAAAGTTTCATGGGGAGATAATGTCTCCTTCAGCAGATTGGCTTGACACTACTGCTTTTAAGATATTTTACAGAGGTAGAAGAAAATCACATAAGATTACAGGGCTTAGACAGAGCCTTTTCCTCGTGAGCAATATTCTCTCAGTTTTACCAACGGGAAGAAAAAGCTGCAATCACTTGTCAAAAAGCTAATCTCACTGATTGAACTGTGTGTCTGAAGATAAAAACATTTTACAAACATTACTTTGAGATTATACAGGGAGCAACTGCAATTTACTTATACATTATAAATTCTGTTGTCGCTTATTGTCTATAGAGTAACAAGTAAGTATATTTGAGATTATAAATATGTCAAGCTATATCCATGTAGGCTACTGTTGTTTATACACATTAAGAGTACAAATGTTTTGTACTTTTAATCGCCTCACTGATTATGTTGTTTCTGTGACACTTTGTGCCAACCAAGGCTTTTATTGTTTCCATTTATAGAGAGACTGCATGCAGCGACAACAGGAGACTGCTAGTTACAGATTTATCATAACACTGCAGAGAAACATTTCAGATAAAGAATCAGTGTAATACTTTCAATTTTGAGCATTTCAAAATAAAGTAGCAGCCATTAACAGACTAAAGAGTGCTGTGTTGTCGATGAGGAAAAAATACTTTGAATTTCTGTTTCTGCCTGTCAGTGTTGTCTTATGTCAAAATGTTCTATGTGTAGTGAAATATATTCATCCAGTCACTTTAACTCCCGAGGTCTGCCTGTCTTGTAGCTGATGGAGGTTTGTGATTGGACAATGCCGTCATGTGGCTGTCACTAATGGATTACCACCTACCACACATGTTCTCAAGAGACAATGTAACATCTATACTGAGCTTACATCACAGTGTGTCTTTCATTTACTTGACATGCATGTCTCACCGCACATGTACTGTATAGATTTATGGGCAACCTTTTTTTTTTTACAACTTGTTGCCAATTAAAGGTCGAGGTTTTCTAAATGTCAACTCGCATTTCTTTGAGCCTATCACATCAATTGACCCCAAGACAGGAAGTTCAACATTGCCATAAAAGTGAACATGACAAGTATTGTGTATTATGACTGCTGGAAAAGCTAATACGTTATTATACATACATTATACATATAAGGGTGAAAAGCCAATGATATAGTACAAAACGCAAAAGTGTCCAAATGTAATTACTTTTATGTAATTGTGCAATGTCCTTATAAATATGTTCAAATAAGCATGAAAACTTCTTTTTTTTTAGATCTCTTCATTTGGGGTAAAGTATGGAGAGTGGTACGGCATCTTTTATTTTCTAACATCCCTTCTCACCAACTGTTGGGAACACAGATGTCACAGAGCAGATGCCACTTAGGGAAAATATGAGGAATTATGTGGCAGAGCCCATTAACAAATTAGGCACTTAAATATTTATTTTTAACTTGCTGCTGTGAGAGACTTCCTTTTATATGTAGCTGTTCAATTGAATTTCAGGTTCATGGTTTCAGGATGAACGATGATTACAAACGATGCACCCGTGTAGAATCACACAGTAAGTGCTGATGCTTTCTGAGCTCTGTGTGCATCAACACAGGACATGTCATGTTGGAAATGATGCAGAAGAAGTAAATGAATGTGGTTTAAATTCACAGGAAACCAGATGGTGGAGACTCAGCCTGAGGGCAGCCAGCAAGCTTTCCTTTCCATTCTTTCTGCAGACCATTACCGCCAAATATTATATTTATTTAATGAAAGTGCTGCATTAGTAAAGTCCAATCTATGCAACCACAGATTTGAAGAATATAATTTGCACATTGCTCTAGGCACAAACTTATTTCTCATTAATCAAATTCAGTAATGTTCAAAAAACATGTTTATTTTGTTAAATGGCTTTAATATTGTCATGTTAGTGTTCAGCAGCATTGTGGCTTTAGCAGCCAGCTGGACTAACAAGCAAGCGTCTCCTTTATTTGTGGTCGGTAACCTCAAGAGTGAAAAATATAATTGTGGAAACTGACGCTGCCTGAGTTTGAATTACAGTGAACTGTTGCCACCTGCTGCATGATTTCAGAGGTGCAACAGAAACACTTTAAACTATGGCCTAAACACATCTCTGATCTCCTGCTATTAGCACCAGGTTTTCTTTTGTCATACAAAATAATGGATATCATTGTTCAGCTGTTCTTTTACGATTTGTATTACTCTATTAACTGTCCTTATGTTTCCAATGTAATATATTTGTGGTCTTATAGGGTCACATGTTTAAGCAGCAGTGAAAGAAACCTGCAGGTCTGCTGCAACTCTTACTACTTTTAAATCCAGGCTGAAGACTCTTATTCTTTCCGCTGCTTTAAATTACACTGCACTGTAACTTGTATTCATGTATTACCTATGTTATTGTTTATTAGCTTGTTTTATGTTTACTTGTATTCTCTTTGCTCTTTAATGTCTCTTTTTAAATGCCATATTTCTAATGTTTTATCTCTGGAAAAAAAATGTATCTATGAAATAACTGATGGATGATGGTTGGTATTCAATTATTATTTACATGTCTACTGCATGGTTAGATTTGACTCTCTGTTTGATTTCAATTAGTTAATCACAGTTGTTTCAGACAATTTAAAAAATGTTATGTTCTTTTATCATCTAAGTTGGTCCCATTCCGTTTATTGAAACATTATAATAAAAAACAATATACCGAAAGAAACGTGGCCGCTGAAGCTCCGGGGGTTAGTGCGCTGATCTGCAAATCGGGGGGTCAGCTGTTCGACCCTCTGCAGTCAACATGTCAAAGTGTCTTAGAGCAAGATACTTAAACCCCAATTGCTCCTGAAGGAATGTCCACGCTTTGGATAAAACCATCAGATAAATATTATGCAGTGGAAGTAACCCAAACCATACTCCACAAGACGTTGATGATGAAGGTGCATCAACTCTGATTAAGACTGTGAATTTTCTTTATTAAATGTGAGTTTAACAAGCAATCATACATATGATTTATGCACTTCAACCGCTATGATATCACGTAGCATATTAACTGGATAGTGTTGGCATCATGACAGCACAATGATCTTTGTGATGTGTTGACGGTCATCAAACTGACCTTCATGCTCAATTCAACATAAAGCAAAACCAGTTTTCAGCACATACCTAAAAACCTAAAAAAGGTCAAGTAAAAATTGTTCTTGTATCTGTTAAAATCACTAGCTGCAATAATCTCCTCCCCCTACCCATAATAGAAAATAATTAAGTTCAATATTCTCAGAAAAAAAACACGGTTCATCTGGAAGGTATCAGCAGAACTGAAATTTAGAAAGAAAAGAAAGAGTTTGATGAAGTACAAAAGACATTATGAGTTATTGAAACAAGTGTCGGCAAAATACATACCTTCCAGCGGTTACCGCACTCATTACACAGGACAAATGTGGTCATCGGCTCATCAGCACTGCGTGTCTGCACCTAAAACACACACACACACGGATTAAGAAGCTGTAAACATTGCAGACATAAGAGGATACAATGAGGAGATTAACTGAATACAATTGTATAAAACTTCTTCATTAACACAGTGGTGTCTGGGAAATGTGTTCCTAGGTCCATAACCTTGACCCAGTTTATCAGTTTGTACTGCCCTTGAGCACAGGCCTGCGACCTAGGGCTGCTGTGCAGTCAGTGTTTTGCCTCCCTATTCCTGCCTGCTGGTCAGCTGATAGAGGAGTTATAGTGCTTTGCCAGTTTTATCTTGTTATGCAGCATGTTGATTCTTCTCTCAGAGCTAGCTAAATACATGGGACTGGAGGAGAGATCTTCAGAATTGGTTGACTGTGTCACCTTGTAGCTGCAGTAAATGTCTTTGTCAATTCTCAGGCCGTAAGTTCATATCAATCTTCAGTGTTTGCCATCAAGTTTCAGCAGCTCTCCCCGTGTTTCATTGGGTTTCGACTCCATGCTCCAGAAGTTTCCATTACAAGTGCAATTTTTTTTTTATGGCAGACTATACAACGATTCTTTTACTAGATGTTTCATCACATACAATACGATGACCTTTCTTATTACAATCGTGACATCCTTCATATGGCCTTTTTCCATGACATTCTTTACGACACTTCTTATGACATTCTATAATACTTTAGTATTTTTTTTATGGGACAGGGCACTGTGTTTTTTATTTTGTGAGATTCTATCATATGACTTGTATGAAACTTTTATGACATTTGTATTGCATACTACAGGTGTGTGTGTTTACCTGGTTGTAGGTGCAGTTCTTCTTCCTGCACTTGCTGCACTGGAACATGTCGGACGAGGTGCCTCCAGTTTTGGCCATCTGGTGCTCCCGGATGGCTTCCTGGGTGAGAACGTTCCTCAGCTGTTTCAGCTCCTCGCTGGCCATCTCCTACATTAAGCAAATATGTGAGAAACTGGGGCAGATCAACATAAAAGTGTGGCACACCAACAGATCCGAGCATCACAAAAGGAGTTCATGGATGGTTTAGTATGAATTGGCGGTGTTCTGTACCTCAGCCGACATGCTGGCGATGCGACCCAAGTCAATGTTTCCTGCGAGGACGTTCCTGCGAAGCCCAGGGTTCTTCGGGTCCTTCAGGTTGCTGATACGGCTGCGGACTTTGTTTTTATACTTCATATCAGTGGCCTTTGATTCCTGGTAGATATGTGCAACCGCGCAGTCAAGGTAGATCTGATCACAGTCATAATGTCAAACAGGATACTTTCAAGTTTGATGACCAAACATAGAGAAAAACAATTAGTTAAATTGAAGGATATGATCTTCAATCTCTGCAGCCATGCTGTCACAGTTGGTTGCAAAATCCTTGAAGTCGTCTGTAAAGACCAGAAACAAAAGTAAATCTGGACATCACAGTGACATTTGTGTGTGTTCCCTTGGTGGTATCTTGCTGTAGATTTACACTCTGCAGTCTGTTTTTGTATGTGTTTCTTTGTCAGAGTATTCAGAGCACAGCAGCTACAGTAGTGTGTATTCTCAGTGATAAAGTCTAATCTTAGCCTCACTGTCTGCGCGCAGGGCAGCTGCCAGCAACTCAATGCACTTGTCTCTGATGGAGTCCCCAGTAGCATAACGAGGGGACAGTGGCCCCCCGGGGGAACTGAAGCTGGGGGACATGGGGCTGGTCGGGGTGGTGGGAGTTTTAGGAGTTTCGGCTTTGCCCCTCCTATAGAAAAAGGACACATTAAAGCATAGCATTCAAAGTGTGTGAAGCAACACCTCCTGTGTGTTTGGCCTGATTTGACCTTAGGAAGGAAAGGAGTTACCTGCTTTTGTGATCTGCTTTTTTGGGGCAGCATAAAACCCTCATTAGCTTTGGTCTCAAATGATTCATATGTCTTTATGGGCTTTAGGTTTGTTTACCTGAATATAAGTTACTTAAGATGAATGTATTTCAGCTAGATTAAATGTTAAATAATCATCAACAAACATCATAAACCTTAGCCTACATGACCCTACTATTGACAACATAAATAAATAATTGAAATACTTCTCAATGCTGTCGGTAGAGGGCTTCCTCTGTGGAGGTCCAGGCTGAGGAGTCTTAGAGCCGTGAGACTCTCTCCTGTAAAACAAAGTCAATAGCGTCATCTTCTTGCTTTTCATAGAGAAACCCTCTGAAACCTTAACGGAAAAATGATTGACCTTTCAGCTGGTAGCTTCCTTGCTGGCGGTGAGCTGCTTCTCTTTGAATCGATGGATTTCCGCCTAGTGAATAATGAGACACTTTCAGTAAATATACATTTCCTTTGCATTTCCAAGTATGAGTGAGATTTTACCTGTCAGGTTTGGAGTCAGTTGACGGATGTTTCACTGGTGGGCCAGGCTTTGAGTCGCAGGAGTCCTTCCTGCAACACAAGAGACACCGATAAAGTGTAGTTAGTGTTGATTCAAAGGCAATATACTGTTGAATTCATTTGTTTCTGCACACCTGTGTTTTTCTTTTTTGACATCCAAACTGGGCTTCTTGGGAAGGGGCGGTCTTGAGTCCAATGAATCTTTCCTGAAAAAGGAAGCATTTGTTTGATTCTTAGACAAATCCACTTGCAGAAAGTGAACAACAAGGCACATATAACCATCACAGGTGTTCATACTCATGAGTGACCTACCTTTCTCTCTTAGCCTCATCTGAGTGTTTAATAGGCACTTTGATATCCGATGACTCTTTCCTGGAAAAATAAAACAAATGTCCATATATATTACCAAAATAATATATTTGCTCTTTACAGTTAGCTATTGCTCTCCCTTTACACTGTAAGTAAAGAAGTGAATAATTTATTTTTACATCATATATTGAAGAAATGCAAGAAACATAGTGAATAAAACCTTAAGCTGATTAAATGTATCCTTGGAAACTCTGTAAATCTATTTATTTTGCAGCGACGTAAAAAGAAACCGAAAAACATGGGTTGAGGTCACTGATCCTCCAGCATTTTTTTCAGAATGAATAATTTCCAGAATCCCGGACCTTTCTTTTTTTACAAGGTCTGATGTCTTCTTCTGTGGTGGAGGTTTAGAGTCTGATGACTCCTTCCTGCTGCGGCAAACAACACAAGGTTTCGATTCAGAAAGGAACATTTATAATTTTTCAAAAATAATGCTGTCAGACACTTCCGGTCCTGTAATGAGAATTCATCTGATCCAGACCTCTCTTTTTTCACATCGGGTAATTGGCGCTGCGGGGGAGGAGCCTGGGGGTGAAGGTGAAATGGAAGTGGAGCAAAAGGAGCGTTGGGGTCAGGTGGCTCCTTTCTGAATAAAAGAAAACACCTTTGAGTTGAGAGGCGTCGCTTCATGGCGAGAGTGGATATTATAAGCAATTACTTATGTGAGGCAACGCAGTGGGCATGCAGACCCTGACCTGGGTGGAGGAGGATGAAGGTGAAGAGGAAGAGGAGCAAATGGAGCATTGGGATCCAGTGGAAACTTCCTGGTGTGAAAAAAATTCAACATTTGTTTGAGAAATCTCACATTTCTCTGCACTAACTCAGTCCACCATGCACCGAAGCATGCCTGACCTTTCTTTCTTTACTTCCACGGAAATCCGCTTCGCCGGCGGAGAGGCGGGGAGAGGAGCGTGAGGACGAGGATGTCGGGAGGAAGAGTCTTTACCGTCCTTCCTGAACAAATACCACAACAGAAAAGTCAGAGAGGGGCAACTGAAGAGTACCCAATGCTGTTCCAGTGGAATCAAAAGTATTTTCTGACACACCTCACTGACCCATCACAGCATGCACCCATGCACAGAGAGTATCCGGTTAGCCCAAGAGTCTGCTAATAAAACTGAAGACACAAATGTCAGTGCATTCGAGTGACTCAGAAAGGGTTATGTGGTGCAGTTATATTTCCGTCCATCATGCTCTTCAGCGCACGCCATGCATGGGTCCAGACCTGTCTTTTTTCAGGTCCACTGAGGGGCGTCTAACTGGGAGAGGGGGCCGGGCAGGGAGTGGGGCCCGGGCAGGGCGAGGGGGCGAGGGGTCCCGGGTGGGATAAAGAACAGTGCAGTCCATCACTCCTCTCCTGCAATACATTATTTAATCTGAAACTCTGACGCATGTTTTGATGTGTAGTAATACATTTTTGAGCCACCTCTGTCTCACCTTTCGAATAGTGGTTTGGAAAATATTGGTTTCTTTCTCTGGGGTTCGATCGGCGGCATCTCGTGTCTGTTACTCTCCTTATATTTGCCCTTCTTCATGTCATCTGTGTAGCTGTGCTTCTTCGGCTCCTCTGGGTTTCTTTCCTTTTTGAACTCTTCCAGGTGTTCTCCTAAAGGTCTTTCTTTCCTTGGTTCTGGATGCTTTTTCTCACCCTGCAGGTCTTGCATATTTTTCTGTTTGTAGTAATCTGCTTCCAGTGGGCCATCCCCTGCATGTCCTTGCTTTTCGGGTTCTTCTAAATGCTTATCTTTTCTGATTTTTTGGGGATGTTTCTCATATTGGGGCTCCTCCAGGTGTTTTTCATCGCTGGGCTCTTCTTGGTGTCTCTTTTTGTTTCTGTGTTCATCATTGTGTTTTTCTGTTCTGTTTTTATCAGAGTGTTTTTTGTCAGGATCTGAGTCGTGTTTGGATTTGTTACCCAGTCTTCTGTGACTAACAAAAACAAAGGGAGTATCATATTTACCTCTTTCCCAGAGCCAGAAAAAAACGTCTATAGTTTACGTCAGGTCTGTTGTTGTTGCACCTTAAGCCCTCTTCATACAGGATTAAACTGACTGATGTTGACGGGTTATCTATATTACTTCAGTTGTGCGCTAAGCTGATTAACTCAGCAATAGTTAACGGCTGTATCGGTACAAACTCAGAGATGCCTTTACAGCTTTTACAGCAAATAGTGGAATAAATTAAATCCAAATGGGGACAAACAATGTCAGTCTCAGATGGAAACACCATGCATGATCACTTCGTTCATACTGTGTAGCGTCTTTAGAAATACCCTAGTTCGCACTCGTGAACATGTTTACCTAGAAAAACATGCAAATTCAAGCCTCAGGGAAAGAAGCTTCCATCATGACATGCCTATAGGTGCAGGTAGGAACGTAGACAGACAAAATATGATTTAAAAGCTTCCATGGAAACTTTTAAAAAAAGAGAAAATATTTACACAGTGTAAATAACTATTGACTGGATAGGCTGCTAGAGTGTGACTCCTGAAACTTTCTTACAGCTTTAATTTGTGTTCTTCTTATGAAGGAGATGCTGTGTTAAACTATTTCTATGTAATATAAATATAATATACATTATTATGAATACTATATTTAATAAATACAAATCTACAAGTACTCTAGGTCTACTGTTGTGTATTGTGGCAATTCATGATAAACATCTCTCTATCTCCCTGAACGTCTACACTTCCATCTTTTACTACATCATATTTCAGATTAAATGAAACCAGTTCACACTCAACACTCTCTTCTTGTCTCTGCTTCTTCATTAAATATCATGCTAGCTGTGGGGTTTCGGTGCAGCAGCTGTCAAAGTACTGACCTGCTCTGTGTGTCAGAGGGGGGGCTGCTTGGAGACCCGGCCGTGTTGCTGGAGTCCAAACCGTTCTTCGTGAGGGATGCTTTCTCAGTATCTGTGTGAATGTTTGTGTGGAGGAATAATATCAGTAAATCACTCGGTTCATAATGTGTTTACTGCACAAAGCATGCTTCTACTGCTGAGTAAATCATGCATCAGTGTCAAGTACCCAGATGTCTTTTCCAGTCTTTAATGAGGACCTTTGCCAAGGCAATGACTTCCTCATCTGTGCAGTGCTTCCTGATTCCGTTCACTGACATGCCGATCCTCGTTTCCTTAAACAAACATACATTTGATCTTAAGTAATAGCAGTCATCTTATTTGACATGATGGTTTATGACTATCAATAAATCCTATGTTAAAAAGAAAACTGTAAATTAGACTAAAGACAACATACTGGTGCATAATTGTATGCATGGTCCTTCTATAAATAAATGCATACCTGGAGAAGTTTGAGTGTCATATTGAAACTTTTGAGTTCCTTCAGCAGGTCCATGGCACCCTCCTGAACACACAAAATAGTGAAATGCAAAAACAAGTCAGACGTTTTAACCTGGAAATATTGAATGGTTTTATTTACAAATATGTCATGAAGATGTCTAATGCAGATTTGATTCCATGCAAATATGAACATCTCAAAAAAGAAAGTGCAGATCGTGTGTGTGAGCAGAAACAGTTTCACTTTTGTTATTTGCATTTTAGACAAATACATATTAATTCATACATTTAAATTATATATCATAACAGGCATTACATAGTCATTTGTGAGACTATTGTCTTCATTCTAGAAATCAAAGTTTCCATGGATTATTTTTTTAGTAGGCTGCTACTGCATTGTCGTTTAAAGCCCTCTAATGCACTCTGCACTCCGTGACTCGCGCCATGAAACAACGTCCTGTTTGCAGTTCACAACGCACACGCACGTACGCACGCAAACACACGCACGCACACACACACACACACACACACACACACACACACACACACACACATTCACAAACGACCTTGCCCAATGGTCGCTCTGTTTACTTTCTGTCGAGACGAGTCACTTTTAAAACGTCAAACTGCAAAAAGTTGCAGAAATTGTCGAAAAGCTGACAAAACTTGTTCCATAGAGCGCGGCACAGTAGAGCCTAACACCTGTTGATCATTTGTGGAGTAGCCTACAGTCAGGCTCATATTTCAAATGTCGAAGTATTACACCGATACAAACGAAATCAAACGTAATGCAAGGTAAATCTGAGGGGAAATATTTCCAGAAGAGACGTTCAAGAGCCTTCTGTGCAGCACGAGGTGGCGGGACGACGCACCACCTGTGGGTGTCAAAATAAGTTCTCACCGTGTTATTCCGAGTCACCATCTTGTCCAGTTTTTTTGCAATCCGGATGAGATCTTCCTCTCGCGTCATCGCTGCATTTACTCGATTAACAAGGAACCTATAATGTCGATAGGGTACTTATTGCAAACCGTGAAATTAGTTTTTTTCCTTCTAAACAACTGTTTGTCTCCTCTGTAGGTCGGACTGTAGCGCACGCTCCATTCAGCCCAGAGGCGTGTCCTGCTGCAGGGTCCCACACGCTGCACGACACATGACAACAACTAAATATAGAAGCTGAAGTGGACACACATATATAATGCTAATGGTTATTCACTTAATGATATGTTAAAGAGACATATTCATTGATTACTTTCTTGTGATGCTACACATCAGTGACCTCATTGCATCCGTATTCAGTCTCGTATTACTCTGTGTTTTGGCTGCACCTGTTATTTCCAGTGCAACAGTTTTTGTTGTCGTGCCAAAGTTCAGCCTGACACCGGATCACAGTTACTACATGTGTGTTAGCTCACCAAGAACTTCAGCACTATGTAACACAGATGTACCCTTTCTGAGCCTTGGATGTGTATGTGTGTTCAGGTGTGTAGTTAACATCAGGCAAAAATAATTCACTTTCGCTATTACAAATAATATAATGACTGTTGGAACTTTTGTATTTGTTTGTACGTGTTTACCACCAGAGGGCACTGTGGTGTAAATCTATTACCTCACAACAGTCCAACAACAGATATGATCACAGATCAGATATCATGCTGACCTTGCAACCAACCATTACATTTTCTTCTGGGTGCCATCCTTCAAGTAGTAAATGTAAACCATTTTTAAGTGCTCACACCATTTGCTGTAACATTTAGCGTTTAGGTGTGACAACGTTAGAGAGCTATTTTACCCAAAATGTTTGAAGTGATATCATCCTAATATTGAAGTGGAATCATATTATTCAGAATGACTGAAGCCTGTTTCCGTGCTGCTCAGTCTTTTTTGAGTTCTGGTGGTGTACACAGTGAGTACGCTGAAGTTGGTTAAAGGAACATTCAGTGCATGAAATTACTTGATATTACACGAGCAAGTGCTTTTCACAAGATCCCTTTAAAAAATGTGTTTATAAATCAGCCTTGACAACTTTTTGGAAGCAACCACTTTCAGACTGTTTTCATAGCAAAATCAGGGGAAGCACGCTCCCAGTGCTGCAAGGCCCAGAGACTTACTCCCACGGTCGACCCGCTGCACTTCAGATCTTAGAGACGTCCCTGCTGCTGGATGTCTCCACAGTTGTGGGAAGCGAGGACATGGGAGATGCAAGTCCCAACAGTCTGCTTTTGAAGTTAGATCAAATATCAGTGGGATGAAGGTTTTGAGGTTTTAATTAGTTAGGATTTCTCCGTCTCGAAATGTACTCATACAGCGACAGTTTATATGGACAGTTTATGTAGGCAGCAATGCTCTGCAACATAATTGTATATCATTACAGAACAGTATTGGCTGGAAAACGTAAAAGTCTGCCCTTAAGGTGAAGTGTAAGAGAGTGGATTTCTTTGATAACGGTGTGTTTAAAAGCCTAAAATATGGAGCATGTCCCATTTATCCTGAGAGCTAACTGTGATGCTTTTGTTTGTGGCCCGAGGATTTGAAGATAACTGTTAACGATGGCAGTTGAAAGTACAGTCTGAAAGCTTGTCTCGGGCAAAGAGTATTATCTCTTTACAACACTCTTACACAACAGGCTGAGTGTATAACCCTTACCCCTGGGTGTCTGGCAGGTAGAGACAATGTGGGCCAACTAGAGAAGTGGGACAGCTACGCATGAGGTAAGAGAGGAAGCAGGCCAAGAGGAAGGACCAGTGATCAAGATCAACTGGCAACATCCTTTAAAACTCTGTGCACTAAACCCTTCGGCTTGGAGCCATTCGAGAAGAAGCAGAGGATGAAGAAAACAACCTGCTTCCACTTCTGCAGCCCCAGACCTTCTTCCCAGACATTTGGACAAATAAACTGTATGATCTCTTTTGAAGAAAAGCACTCTGTATAGCTTGATCCACAAGCCTCATCGCAAAAATCAAATAAGGCTCATAGACAGAATATTATAATACATTAATCGCACAAAAAAAACAGCAATTGCAAGCTGCGTCAACATCATTGACTGAAGACTTTATTATGTATTAATTTGATATTTTATAACGTGTATATTGCCAATGTGTCAGAAAACAGTTGCTTATTTACACACTAAATTATTGCAGATAAACATTTGCTTTTTATTTGGGTTAATGTATGGGTCGACATAATGAATTTAAAGGTTAAAATCACTCTGTTAGTGCTTTATTTGTCTCTCTGACGAAACAATTATAATCTGGATCTTCAGCCGCTATGCGTTCACCCATGTGACGTCCGTATTATTTTCCGTGTTTGTAATGCTAAAGGACAGTTTGTTATAGTTTTTTTGATAGAGTTGGATATGTCAACAAAGAGTTGCATCAAAAAATACTATAATCTGTAATACAGCAGCATGTCCCGAATGACAAACAGAAAAGAAAGCATGCATTTGCCCCATAGGGCAAACATTGGAAAATGGATTCATGTGCTGGAAATAAGATAACTACAACTTTGAAGCCGGGGTCCTAGATTCAATGCCAGATCAAGTCTAATAGAATACATGATTTTATACTGTAAAGAATTTCAATAGAGAGCCCACTGTGTTGGTCCAAAGTGTTCCTCTTAGGGCACTGTACATCCTACATGCTTTAACAGACAAAGAGTACACACAGATCCAACAGGGAATATCCACCAGTCTACTCTCCTCTATAGGAACACCTCGCCCAGAGCTGGTGTCTTCGCCAGTCACAGACCAGAGACGCCAGGCCTGCGCAATTATGGCAATTTTTTTATGACATCAGACCAGAAAATGAATGATTTAATTGAGCTGTCCATTTTTTCTGGATCATGGTGCAGGATGCAGAACCTGTAATAGAGCATGTCAAAACAGAGTGGGAGAATTGTTTAGACGTTCACATCTGCCGTTGGCTGGAAGGTCATTCCAGTTGGTTCGTCTGCTAATAATGACCACTGTTTGGCGTTGGCGCTCGCAAAAAGTAGGCTAAATCTCCTGGAGAGGTTGGACCACCCAAAGACTGTAAGAACATCCCTGTGCCTTCAGCTGTCTCAAAGTCGTTATTTACTGCCACACACACTCCAAATCTACCATATCCAAAACTGTTTTGGTGGGGGCACTATTTTAGGCTACCTTTGACCAAAATAACCGGTGGTGCCACCGTTAGACACAATCCAACCAAAATAAGTCAATGAATAACCTTACTAAAGCTGAATTACGCCCCAACAAAGAGATGTTTAACTCGATTCCTACAAAAAATACTGTTACTGTCAACTGATTTGCAGATTAGGAAGAGAATGATTCGGCCTATACAGTAGCTTCACAGTGAGCAGCACAAAGATTCATTTAAAGCTGGATTGGAATATGTAAAATATGCAATATAACTTTTCCACAACCGTCAATTACACATTGGCACACTGTACAGACACTGAGTCATTTGTATAGTGTGTCTGCAAAAAGATCCTGTGGTTCTTCCCAAGGCTGCGATTTGATCTCTGAGCTCTCTTCGTTTGTGCTTGAGCCACGACTTTATACTGACAAACAAGTGCATAACCCTCATTTGGCATGAGAATAAAAGAAAGGAAAATTGTTTCAAAATATAGAACAAAATGAGGATGAAGATCAGCTCAAAATAATTGATAAAGCGGAGCTCTTACGCCAACAGCCCAGATAGGGTTAGTGTGTAAATCCCGTCTTACTCTCATTTCCTCTTCAACTGACCTCTAATCCAATTATAAATTCAAAACCTGCAAAATCTACCTTTCCTCTACTTATTAGCAGCTTTCTGAAGTGATTTAAGAGAAGCAGGAAATGCTGACTCAATGCTGAATGACCCAGTTAGTAGACATGTAAATCCACAGATGTTACACTTTGGCTCTTAGAAGTTGATTGAATTCAGATTTTGTTTGTGTTCTGTTGTAAATTTGAGACCCTGAGTATCACCAATGGTTCTTGCAATTTAAAGGTGGTGGGAAGTAGTGGAGTACAAATACTTTGTTACTGTACTTAAGTACATGTTTCTGGTATCAGTACTTTACTCCACTACTTATTTTTCTGCCGACTTTTTACTTTGACTTCTTACATTTTGAACACAAATACCTGTACTTTCTACTTCTTACATGTTGAACCCAAATATCTGTACTTTCTACTTCTGACATTTTGAACCCAAATATCTGTACTTTCTACTTCTTACATGTTGAACCCAAATACCTGTACTTTCTACTTCTCTCATTTTCCAAACAGGCTGGTTCCNTCTTGCAATTTAAAGGTGGTGGGAAGTAGTGGAGTACAAATACTTTGTTACTGTACTTAAGTACATGTTTCTGGTATGAGTACTTTACTCCACTACTTATTTTTCTGCCGACTTTTTACTTTAACTTCTTACATTTTTAACACAAATACACAGTAAAATCTGGAGTGTTAATTTAACACTCTGAGATAAGGAACATATGTTCACTGGCTCAGTGTTGAAATGTACTCTTTAAGTGTTCAATTAAGTGGGCGGTGTACATTTTCAAAACAGGCTCATTACTTTAGTTTTAATCTGCGTTTGGTGGTGTGATCATTATTATTTAGAGTCATTGCGTGCCTATTGAACACAATCCATGAATCTATAATTTCCTGGTCTTCTCTGAACAAGAGGGATGAGAATGGCAGTTAGGGAGGAAGCGTAAGAGGCAGAGACAGGTGATGAAGTTAGCAACAATACTGAGAGCAGCGGCGATATTAATCTCCGTTGCTCTCTCACCCATGGCCATACAGT